CAGCCTGGGGGGGCAGGGGGCAGGCTGCGGCCTGGATGGTGCGCTTAGCAAGGGCGAGGGAAACTTTGGGTGCCAGAGTCTAGGTGCCAGTGGGCTTTAGGGACCCTGCCTCACAGAAGCTCTGCTTGGTGCCCGAGGCGGCTGTTCTGGGTTGGCGGAAGGCGCCCGCCTGGCAGCTCTGCCCCAAAGCTCACAGTCACGGGCCCTGCGGTGGCCTGAGGCCAGGGGGACAGCCTGTGTGCATTTGTGGTGAAGCCCCAGACTCCAGAGCCCCGAGATGGCCCTGAGGAGCTGCTAGCCTCCGGCCTCGGAGGTGCTGAGAGGAAGTCCACCGCCCTGCAGTTGGAGGGGCTCTCTGTCGAAGTCCCAGTGCTCCTTGCCCTGGCCAGGTTCCTTGCTGCCCCCGCTGTGGCTGTCCGGGGCTCTTCCGAGGCAGGACGTGGCCCCCAGAATGCTGGCACCGCCAGCTGGAACCAGGTAGCAAGGAGCCAGGAGTGACTGGAAGCCCAAGGGTGAGGCCGGCGCGCTGCGGGTGGTGACCGTGCAGTGACCGGCCTCCTTTCCCAGACTGCCGGCTCCAGCTGCCTGGCAGGGCTCCTAATAATGACTTCTCGGACATGTTTGCTGAATTAATAACGGCCGAGGTCATGGCCAACAGGGTGAACTTCCCCACCTGCCCTCAGAGCCACTGCCAGGCTGAGGGCGCTGCGGGACCGGGACGATGCCGCGGGCACTCGGGGCAGAACCCCGCCGCGCCGCAGGCTGGGCCGCGCACACCCGCTTCCTTCCCTACGGTCACCTTAGCTGGCGGAAAGTTAACGTGCACAAATGTCTTTATTAAATTAGGTTTGGGCAGCTTCACTGAGTGTAGTGAGCACGCAGCGTACGTCGCACACTGAGTCTGACAAGCTTAGGTCTGGCCGGCCACCGGCGGCCACCTCACCCAGGTCCAGGGCCCCGAGCGCTTTCCTCCCTCGCTAGGCCCCCGGCCACGCCTGGAACCGTCTGCCTTCCGACGTCCTTGTCCTTGCGAGCATTCTGTGCCTGCTCAGCAGGCGTTACCTGCAAAGCAGTGTCCCGTGCAGCCCATGTTTACGGTGTCAAAAAGGATTTGAAGAACATGGAGTCAGAAAAGTTGCTGCTGAGTCCCCAAGTGAAATAGTGCCCACATCTGCCAAGGTGGCGTCAGAGGAGCCCCCCCCCCCGCTTCCTCCTGCTCCTTCCCTCCCGAGCTCTGCCCCTCAGGTGCCGCGTCCTGGGGCAAGCTGCTGGAGCTCTTTGCCTTTTCTCCGCCCAGCAGGCCTGCCCGGAAGGCCGTGGGCCAGCAGCCCGCAGCAGGACTGGCCTGTCACCTGCCTCGCGGGACTGGGGGTGGTCAGATGGCGAAGTTGCTGAAGGCCTTGTCTAGGGGCAGCTTTCTCAAAGGTGCTCGAGTCTCAAAACCCAGTTTCACTTCGAGTCTTGCTCCGAGCGCAGTGTGGAAAGAGCAGAAACTGACCGAAGCTCTGCTGTTGGCCAGCACCTTCATTGTAAACTCACTTTTCCCTTCACTCCTGAGGCTGCAGGTGGAGCATCACGAAATGCCACACGTTGAAAAGGGAGCCCCGAAACCCAGTGAGTAGCTGCTCAGAAAGTCTGTGTCCCGCGTCCTGGGCCGCGCTCAGGGCCGGAGCAGCTGGGCCCCAGCGGGCTGACTCTGCACTCGCTGGTCTGGGATGAGGAAGCGCTTTTGCTGGCTTGGGGTATTTGAGATATTTCTCTTCACAGAAAGAATCATACAGTGCCACTGGCCAGCTATCTGGTCCCCTTCCCGCTTTTCCAGTTCTCTGGGGGGTGTCATCGATTTGGTCGGCCTGCCAACCACCCGCGCCCAGGTCTGCCCTTGCCTGCCTCGGGGAGCGGGGTGTAAGCCTGAGCTCTGCGCTCCAGACAGCGCTCCTCTGGGCCTGAATCACGTGTCTGAGGTCAAGATCGAGCTCTTCAAATCAGGCTTTTCCTGGCCTTGGACTGTTGACTTTGGAGTCTGAGGGTTCTTGGTTGTAACCACCTCCCCTCCACCTCTTCACTGTCAGCAGTTTCTGAAGCCTGGGGATGTGGCCCGGGCAGATGTGGCCCTGTCCTGGTGTGGCCTGAGGCTTTTCAGTAAGAGGAATGAGCGTGTTTCCCAGAGGGACTGGGGGAGGGGACGTGGCCCCAAGGGAGGGGAACAGGAAGAGAGGGAACCAGACTATCACTTTTGTGATGTGCAAGTGTATTTTGGGATTCTTTTCGCTTTCTTTTTCCTTGGTATGGAAATGCACATGTGTGGAATAGAGCTGTGGCTGCAAGGCCTGTTCTGGTGCCCTGCCCCGTTTCTGGTGCTTTCGTCCATAACACACCGTGGGAGCTGTGAGGAGAAGCTTCATGTGTCCCTGCAGGGGTGCAGATCTCTGGGGCGCAGAGCGCCCACAGAGCCCTCCAGCTGGGCGAGGAGGGGACCACACACAGCCCAGCTCTCTCCCAGGACCTCGCGCTGTGGGGGGCCGGGGCCGGAGCCACCCCAAGCTCTGCTTGGCCCCACAGGCCGCGGGCTCTCCGTGGGTGCTGGTGGTGGGGCCCTGGCCGCTGCCGTGTGCGAGCCTTGGCCAGGAGCCTGACAGTAGGCTCAACAAATGTTTGTTCTGCCCTCCACAGCCCAGCGGGAGGAGGCCTGGGCCCTCTCGCCGGCGCCCACCCCACCAAGTTTGTTTTTCATCCCAACTTCCTTTGAGCAACTGCTTCTGCCCTTTGAACCCTGCTGCAGATGTTTCCTCTGAGGGGGTTTGCCCAGCAGCACTTGGGAGGATTAAAGGCCAGGGAGCCAGCCTCAGGTGGCCGTCCGCTTTCTGCCCCCTGCTGCCCCGCCGGGGACTCCATTCCAGGGCTGCGAGGTGGGACCCCAACTGTTTGTGCTTTTGCGGGGTGGGGGGTGGCTTTTCTTGGGGCACTGCCGGCAGGCCCCGCCCCGGGTCCTGTGCCCCCCCTGGGGCCGCACACCCGCGGCCAGGCGTGGAGGACACACAGGGGCGGCGCTGAAGGGGCCTGATTCACCGTGGGCCACTTCTGGCCGGGCATGATAGCGAGTCTCCGTCATCGCAAGGGGCCGCCTGATGGGGAAGTCGCTGGGCCAGCGACCCTTGCCCGCCTCTGCTGACTCAGGGCGCCCCCATGCGCAGAGGCTGCCCTTGTGCGTGGACTTTCTACTCTGGTCTCCGCGTGTCGCGCCCGCCTGCCTGGAGGGCGCGGCGCTGTAGACGCTGCCGTGGCGCCACTTGCGGCGCCTCGTGAAGCAGCATCAGGCTTCCAGGCTTCATGGCCCCCACGCCAGTGCACTCCAGTCAGAAGTGCGCAGAAAGGCAGCAGCTGATAAGGCCAGCGATTGGAGCTGTTTCCCTCAAGGCTTCTCGGCCCTGATAAGACTGGCGATAAGACATTGTGAGTCAGCAAAGTCCTGCCTCCCTGCTCTGAGGCCTCTAGGCCCCTGCTCCGCGCTTGCCGTGTGACCCACACGGTTTCGGGGAGTTGTCCATGACGGATGGCCCGGCCCCACTCGTAGTTACGGCTGCTCCCACCTGCAGCCAGTCGCGTCAGCACAGCTCCGCTGGGGACATTAAGCGCAGTGTCCACAGAACGCACTGGGCACCGGGTGACGTGTCATTTCTGCCGCCTTGTGTTGGGGTGCACAGGAACCCACCATGCTTAGCTGCGCGGGTGCCGGGGGCGGGCAGGCGCCCTTGCTGGTGCCAGATGGCCGCAGATCTGAAACCCAACGTACGCAGCTGAACTGGCTCCGCTCACTCACCTTCGCGTCTTTGCTCCCCCAACTTGTGTGTGTGCCAGAATGCTCATGACTGATCTTGTTTGGGCCCAAGTCGGTCCTCTCAGCCCTTCCGCAGCCCGGATGGCGGCGTGGTGTGGTCCTGGCAGAGACGCGGACGTCCGCGGGGTGGCCTTCCGCTTCTTCCTGCCCCCAACGTGGTGCTGATGGCCAATGGCCCCTTGTCTTTCTTTTCCTGACCGGAGCCTGTTCTCCCAGAAAGTCCTAGAAATCACCCCTCGCTACCAGCTTCCTCCTGCTCCCTTCACTTATGTCCCACAAACTCAGACTCGGTTGGAATCCAAATCACGATCACAGGAAGCCTGTGTCGCTGGAACGGACAGAACTGAGCGTTGTGGGCCTTCACCGCCTGTGCAGAAGCGGATGACCACGTGGGCCACGTCCTGGGGTGGTGGGAGGTCTGACCTTTACCTTTGGGGTGCAGTTGTGTGGGCCTGTCACGCAGACAAGTTCCCGCTCCACAGCGAGTAGTCTGAACGCATGCTGCGTGAGCGCCGCCGCCCCAACCAGTCGGCGAGAGCAGATGCCACACTGGGCGGCCCCGCTGGCTCCGGAGCCCGGCTGCCACTGCTCACCGCCTCCTGCTCTTCCGCCCACAGGCCACATCCCACCCGCTGAACGCCGTGGCAGAGGACATGCCCGCCAACGGGTCTGCAGCCCCAGGCAGCCCTGCCCAGGGCCAGGATGTGCGGAAGGTGCGCCTCATCCAGTTCGAGAAGGTCACGGAGGAGCCCATGGTAATTCCCTGCCGTCTCCTTACCTTGCCTGCTCCCAGCCCCAGCTGCACCGAGCAGGCTGCAGGCCGCAGGCTTCTTCCGCGGGCCGTGGCGAGCACAGCCGTGGGAACCCGCTCACGGTGCTCTGGCCTGGGTTGCAGGGCATCACACTGAAGCTGAACGAGAAGCAGAGCTGCACCGTGGCCCGGGTCCTGCACGGCGGTGTGATCCACAGACAAGGTATGAACGTCGGCCGCCCGCTGCAGCGCCTGTCCCACGGCCCAGCCTCGGAGGTCACCTCCCAAGCAACGGGCGGCGCTCAGCACGCCTGCGAGATTCTGTGGCGCGGGGCCGGCTGCTGGGAGGTCAGGGGGAACTGCACCCTGCCGTGTGAGCCCCGGGTCCCACAGCACGCCAGGGGCTGACGTTTCATCTCATGGCAGGCTCCCTGCACGTGGGGGACGAGATCCTGGAAATCAACGGCACGAACGTGACCAATCAGTCAGTGGACCAGCTGCAGAAAGCAATGGTGGGTGTGAGCACTGGGCTCGGAGCACGGCTGGGGTGCGGTGGCCCAGCCCAGCTGGCCGGCCTGCCTGCCGCCCCGAGCGAGGCGAAGTAGCAGAGACTGGAGCCCTGTGTGCCTACGGCCCCAAACAGTCACTGCAAAACCTGGCTGTGCTGCGGGCTGAAGAGAAGCGCCGTCACGAGCAGCAGTGAGGGTCGAGGGGAGCCGGACACTAGAGCAGCTGGCTTAGGACACATGTGGCCAGTGCTGACCGCCCCACATCTCGGTGGCCTCACGCGGTGCAGCGGGTTACAAATCAAAACCAGGAAGATGCCAGGAAGTCCCTCAATACTTGCAAGTTGAGCAATGCACAGGCCAGAAAAGGGCTCCTCAGGGAGCTTAAGAGGAAGCTGGGAGTGAAAGAAATGCACACCCAGGGGTGCGGGGCGCGAGGGGGAGCTTCCTGCGAGTGCCCCCTAGTAGATGCAGGACTTGGAGTCCCGTGACCCCAGTGCTGCTGCCTTCTGGTGGAAGACAGCGGCTCTGAGGGGAGCTGAGCCGAAGAGCAGCCGCCAATGAGCCCGCAGGGGAAGCGGCTCGCGGCCAGCATCAGCCTGCACACAGTGGATTCTGGGCCGAATGTGGGGCGTTGCCCCAGCGTCAGCAGAGGCCCAAGTGCGTCTGTGGCTGCGGACTGCGGTGGGCAAGTCAGCATGGCTGCGGCCTTCGTGCCAGTGCCAGATGAGGAAGGCGTTCGGCGGCGAGGACGATCCCGTTTGCTGAGGGTCTGGGAGCCTTCTGGGGTCCCGTGCAGGAAGGGGGGTGAATCATTAGCTTTTGGTCAGTAGGGCTCATAGAAAGTGTCACTTGGACGGGGCGGGGGCCTTATGAAACCAGAAGTGGCGCAGATTTGTTCTCACAGTTTTATTTCCCGTTTTCCAATAGAAAGAAACCAAAGGGATGATCTCGCTGAAAGTCATCCCCAACCAGCAAAACCGACTTCCTGCGCTGCAGGTGGGCGCCTTCTCCGCCGTGACATCTGGGGGACAAGTGCACACCCCCTTGTGCTGGTCGGCGAAGGAAGTTGAAGGCCCTGAGTTGGGGGGCATGGGGTGTGGGGGGGTGCTGTGTCCCTCTCACTAAGTCCTGCTTTTTGGGAACTCGGCCGGCTGCTCCCGCTTTCCCGTGTCCACCTGCTCTTCAGGGAGCCTCTTACTGATTCTTCGTTTTTCTTCCCCTCTTTGGCTTGCACCCCAAACCTTCCCGCGGGGAGGGAGTCACGCTGAGATGACCGCAGTTGTCCTCCCTTCGTTCCTGACAACTCGCGTCCCAGCCAGGGTGGGCTCAAGAGACTGGCGCGTCACAGCCTCGGGCCCCTCGTCCATGGCCCTGAGGCAGCTGCTGCTCTTCTGCAGATGTTCATGAGGGCGCAGTTTGACTATGACCCCAGGAAGGACACCCTGATCCCTTGCAAGGAGGCGGGGCTCAAGTTCGTCACTGGGGACGTCATCCAGATCATCAACAAGGACGACAGCAACTGGTGGCAGGGCCGCGTGGAAGGCTCCCTTCAGGAGTCTGCTGGCTTGCTCCCGTCTCCCGAGCTGCAGGAATGGTGAGGGCTTCTGTGCAGCCGCCCGTGGGCTCTTTCCCCAGGGGCTTCCCCTGGGACTGACAGGGGAGCTCTGCGGCCTCCGCGCCACCGTCCTGATTCCCAGGGCCAGAGCACAGAGCCCTGGGCTGCGCCGCCAGCCTCTGGCCCTGTCTGGTCGCCACGGCCCTGGACGGAAACTTGCAGAATCAGCCATAGACGAGATGGCACAAGTGGGTTGTGGCTTCTAGACCATTCTCAACCAGACTGCCTGGTGCAGGGCTTTGCCTGGAGGGGGGCCCTGAGGAAGAGCCACAGGCACAGGGACCCTCGTGGCTACGTCACAGGGCCGGGAGGCGTGAGCGAGCTCTGTCCTGGGATGGCGCTCACTGGAGCTGTTCCAGGAGGCGTGTGAGCACAGCACGCTGCAGCCCCGGGAAGATGTACTTTGGAGGCAGGTGGGGGAGAGGCTGAGAGACCACGAGGGGGTCTCCGAGAGACACGCGGGGCGGGGCGGGGCGGGGCGGGACCTGGGGGCAGAGGTTTGTGTGCAAAGGAGAGGGTTCACGCGAAGGGGCCCCACAGGCGAGTGGCGAGCACGGCCCAGTCTGCCCCGAGGGAAGCACCGAGCTGCAGCCCCTTCGGGAAGAAGAAGAAGTACAAGGACAAGTACCTGGCCAAGCACAGCGCCAGTAAGCGGCACCCGGCGCTCCGGCCGCGCTAACGGGGGGGCGGGAGCCGCCTAGCGGCGGCCAGGCGCGGGCCCTGCCGGGGGCAGCGTTCACGCGCTCCGTGGCCGGCTGGCGGGCACCGGCTCCTGGGGCGGGTCTAGTTGGGGGCTTTGGGGCAGCGGCGGGCCAGACGGGAGCTCGGGCGGGCCTGGCAGACTCCACGGCTCCTGCTTACGGCCCCGCGCGCGTGCAGAGGACACGGGGCTCCACCAGCGGCCGGGCGGCGCTGCCGGCTGCTCTCTCACGGCGCTTTGCTCTGTCTAGTTTTTGACCAGCTGGACGTGGTCTCGTACGAGGAAGTGGTGCGGCTGCCTGCGTTCCGGAGGAAGACCCTGGTGCTCATAGGTAGCCGCCTGGCCTGGCCTGGCCTGGCCTGGCCCGACCCTGGGCTGGCAGGGCTGTCCCAGGTGGCGGCTTCTCCACAGTGCCCACAGCCCAGGGCCCTGGGGTCTGTCCGCTCGGGACCGGCGGCCTGGGCCCGCCCAGCAGCACCCTCCCTGGCTTTCCAGGGAGGCCATGAGCCAGAGTGTGGGATCGGCAGCTTCGCTGCTTGGGAGCATTCACGAAAGCTCCACTTAGCTGGCTCCATCCCACCGATGGCCCACCCGCCCCATCGCACTCCGGGTCCCACCACAGTGCCCCCCACACAGCCCGTCAGAATCGCCCCCGGCAGGCTTTCTCCCTGCACAGGTGCCAGCGGGGTGGGCCGCAGCCACATCAAGAACGCACTGCTCAGCCAGAATCCAGAGAAGTTCGTGTACCCTGCACCCTGTGAGTACCCTCTCCCTCGCGTGCTCATGGAAGAATACCATCTGGAAGCATAAGAATTGGCACCTGGACCTCCCCAGTGACCTCTCAGTGCTGTTACCACCATGGCCTGAGTTCGAGCCCCGGCCAGGGAGCAACTCCCAGGGCGCAGCAGACCCTCCTCTCTCCCCGCTGCCCCCTCAGCAGTGGGTCTCAGTGGTTCCACCTGTTCTGCTCCCACCGCCACACCTGTGGCTGGCACCCCACCTCTTCTACACACGCAAGGAAACCCAACTAGAATCGGGTGAAAACGAAAATGGTACCTGTCAGCCCCCACCACAGAGGTCACAGGGAACGGGCTGGGGCTCCATTTGCAGCGGGCTGGGCTGCCGGCGCAGCGGTCGCTCCGTGCAGGGGCGCGGCCCGGGTGCCCCATGGCCCTGCCCAGCAAGGCTTCTCGCCAGATACCACGCGGCCGCCCAAGAGGAACGAGGAGGATGGGCAGGACTACCACTTCATCTCCACGGAGGAGATGACCAGGGGCATCTCTGCCAACGAGTTCCTGGAGTTCGGCAGCTACCACGGCAACATGTTCGGCACCAAGTTTGAAACAGTGAGGCAGATCCACGCGCAGGGCAAGGTCGCCGTCCTCGACATCGAGCCCCAGGTGCGCAGGCCGCAGGGCGGGTGCGCCAGCTGCCTGCGCCGGGGCCAGCTGAGCGTCTCCGCCCCTCTCTTCCCAGACCCTGAAGATTGTCCGCACGGCCGAACTCTCGCCGTTCATCGTGTTCATCGCGCCCACTGACCAGGGCACCCAGGTGGGGAGCAGGGCTCGGGGTGCAGCTGCCTCTGCTCTCCCCAGAACCTCAGCACTCAGTGTCACTCGGGAGGTGTGGGGAAGTCAGGCACGAGCTGGGGTGCTGTGCCCCTGCGCCCCACACACGCTGTCAGGGAACCCCAGCAGGCCAGCCAGGGGGCCCTTCCTCTTCGCTCGGGCCTCTCACCTTCCCCTCGGTGTCCACAGTCCTGTGCGGCCTACTGTCGCTTGCACACTCTCCAGCTCAGGCGGCCCTGGGCGCCCACGGCTCGGCCCCGTGTGGCTGCGGGCGGCGGTGCGTGGGCTGTGCCCAGTCCTTTCCGGGGCTGCCAGAAAGCTCTCGTGCCTGTCACCGGGGTTCACTGCAGTACGTGCGTGGCCAGGCTGCTACCGTCCCCCAGCAGGACCTGCGAGGCTGCTGGGGCCCAGGCTGGGCCAGCAGGTGCACTGGCCCCTCACACGCCTCTGGCTTCTCCCTTGTGCAGACGGAGGCTCTGCAGCGGCTGCAGAAGGACTCTGAGGCCATCCGCAGCCAGTACGCGCACTACTTTGACCTCTCGCTGCTGAACAACGGCGTCGACGAGACCCTGGAGCAGCTGCAGGCGGCCTTCGAGCAGGCGTGCGGCGCCCCGCAGTGGGTGCCTGTGTCCTGGGTATACTAGCTGCACCTGCTGGCAACCCCGCGGCCTGCTGGACGACGCTTAGGGTCGCTCCAGCTTTTTCTCAGCTTCCAGCTCACTGCAAGCCTCCTACCTGAGCCCAGGTTGTGTCTTGATTGCGCCGACCGTTCTGCTAATCAAACTCGGGGCTCCCTGTGCCCCCAAAGCTTGCACTCCTTCACCTTTCATTCCACTGGCTGTTTCCTTTGTCTTTCCTTTGAAGAAAGCATTTTTAACTGCAACTTTCTGAAATGCCAAAACAAAGCTGCTGTGCACTAGGGTGATGCCTGTTCTAAGCAATAAAATGTTGGTGTGCAAATACCAGTGGCCTTGGAGCTCAGCCAAGGGACACAGCGCCCACTTTGAGCACCCAGGGGCCGAGCATGGGCGCCCCATCTTCTCAACCCCGCAGCAGGCCTCAGCCCAGCGCAGCGGCCCCACGCCGCTGGGGGCGGGTCTGCATCAGTAGACACACCTGCGTGCAGGTCACGTGGGCAGGGGCGGGCCGCTCTGCAGCCAGGTTCGCCCTCACAGGGGCCACATCCACCCGTCTTCCACTTCCCCGACAGCCCTCAGCTTCCTCTGCTGTCTTTCAGCCCCCCAAGCGGAGATGCCTTCTGAGCCTGTGCTGGACCTAAGGCGCGAGGCTGTCCAATCCTGGGCCACCACCCACTGCGGGCATTTAGCTTCCTGTCAGTGATCCAGGACAGTGGCCTCAGGGCTACAGCCAAGGCCCCCTATTGTCGGCTCATTTTCCTCTTGTACCAAACTGCGCAGTTCCGGTGATTACTCTATGCAGGTCTTTGGGGTCCCGGACCTGCGCAGCAGGTGAACGTGGCCTCGCCCACGTGTGCCCTCATCTAGTAGGATGGGAACTAGGGAATGCTGTGTCATGGACTTGGAAGGTAACTTCCAATGAACACTTCCTGGCCTCCTAGCTCAACCGCGAAGCCACAGAACACTTAAGAAACTGAAGTCGACTTTAATAAGTAAAAATCACAAGTCTTCTCCCAGCAATGAGTGATTTCATCCTTTAAAAGAGGGTTAGAATGAGGGTACAGGAATTTGGGGGCTCCTGTCACAAAAGCAGCAGGTACATGACGCTACGCATGAGCTGACGAAGCTGGGCCGGGGCCCCACGTCCAGAAGGTAAACGGCGGCCTCCACGCCAGACAGACCCCGTCCTCACAGGCCAGCGGAGAGCTTTGCGCACCAGCGGCAGTGTGCTTCGGCCGTGGCCTGCTCCCTGGCGAGAACCGCACCGCGCAGACCCTTTTCTACATGCTGCGTGGGGAGGGCGCGAGCAGGCGGCGCGGCGGTGCTGAGCCTGGAGTAGCCCCGCTCCTGAGCTGAGAAGTCGGCGGCGTCGAGCTGCTCTGCCTCCCATCCTTACAACAGGACAGGAGGGACGACCGCGCGGTCACTGGTCGCCGGCGCTCCCCACCCCCAGGCCCTCCTCGCAGGCGCTGTTCATGGGACCCAGCTAGTCAGACACCGCTTCTGCTTTTATTCGCTTCTTCTTCTTCTTCTTCTTCATGGTGTCACTGTCCTGGGGGAGGGAAGAGAGCAAAGCACGTGTGTGCCTCGGGGCCCACGCCTGCGGGGCCTCCCCAGCGTGCTCCTGTGCTTGCGGCAAGGCCCAGTTACCAGCAGCCCCCACCCATGGCCAGCAAGACCTGCGTGCCCTACACACCCCGTCTGCCGGCACCCCGTCTCCAGGCCCATCTGCACTCTCGGGCGCTGCCTTCGCCTTCTTGTCCTTCTTCTTCTTCTTCTCCTTCCTGAGCGGCTGTGGGGCCACTGGAGAGGCGTCCTCACTTTCACTGTCTCGCTTACGCTGTGCAGACGACTGGGAATTAGCCCTTGTGCAAAAATGCCTGAGAAAGGTGGGGCACCCACAGCGTCTGCTGACCACCACCCCGACAGACCTTGGAGCCGGAGGGGCGGGCCCGGCGCAGCTCCACCCGCATCCCCACCCTGATCTCACATGGTCTGAGTGTCACAGATGAGCTGAAAGCACACGTGCTTAGCTGCCCCCACAGATCCCAATGCCCTGCCAAAAGCGTCGTGGAGTGCTCACCTTGGCGGCTTTCACCTGCTCCGCTGCCGCTGGTGGGGCTTTCCCCGCGTCAGCCACCGCCTCCCTCCTGGCCGAATCGCTGAAAGAGGAGGCGGGATCGGCCGCGTGGCCCGGCTTCCCACGGGCCCCGTGGCCCAGGTCTGGGACCAGGCCTGGCGTGGCTGAAGCCGCCAAAGGCAACACGAACCAGAAAAGGGCCCTGAAAAGCAGACCAGTGCCCCCCAGCGGCCCCCACAGGCCCCACTGCCCATGCCAGCACGGAGCAGGCTGCCCCCAGCCCCTCGTCCGCACCTGCACGCGAGATGCCCTCACCTGTAGTCAACATACTCCTGCGTCCAGGCGGCAGGGGTGCTGTCCGTGGCCTTGCCGTGCTTGTCCAAGAGGCCCTGCCTGATCATCAGCTTCTTCTGACTTGCCTGGTGGAAAGCAGGGTTCACGTTTCAGAACTGAGCCCACACCAGGCTCCCCGGCTCCCCTCACCCACGCCCTCCACTGCCAACAGCAGGCATGCTTCCTGCCACCATGGCTCTCCCCTCGCCTCCATACTAGTGTGGGCTCCAGGTTCTCTGGGGGCCCTTGCGGCCACCCTGTGGCACACGGAGAGCTGAAGGAGAGGCAGGCCTGCCGCATGCATGCTCACCTTCGGCCCTAACCCCCACTTCCGGGGGTAGGTGTCTCTCTCCATGATCACCCTCTTGATCTTGGCCACGATCCCGTGGTCGCAGGTGGAGATCACCGCCGTGGTCATCAGGGCGATGGCTGCGGGCAGCAGGGACAGACAACACTACCTCACACCGCTCTGCAACAGCCCCTGAAGTTGCAGCGCAGCCGCCTCAACGCGAAGGGCAAGCAGGAGCCCTCACGGCACAGCCCACTCGCCAAGTCAGAAACGCCAGCAGGGTCAGCCCCAGGCCGACGCTTCCCAGCCAGGCGCTCAGTGCCTCATTCCTTCAACGTGGCCAGACCGCACTGGAAGCGCCGATCCCAAGACGCCCGTTTTTAGCTCAGGCAGGTGCCATCTCCAGGGCTGGCAGCCAGAATGGCACACGCGGGGAATAGACTAACCCCATGCGAGAGCAGCTGACGCTTGGCCGAGTCGCCGCTGCCGGCTGGACGCCAAGTCCCTGGTTTGTCTCCACTGACAGGTGCTGGCCAACGCGGACCCCCAGGCTTGAGAAGCGCCCAGGGATCCCGCTGCAATGGTGGGGCTCACCCATGCAAATGGCCTCTCCTTTGGTGGTGACGACCACGACCTCCTGGCTGACCTCGATGCCATCCTCGTAGCGCAGCACCCCTGGGAGCATGATCTTGGCCCCGTAGCAAATCGCGTTCACCTGCAGCGAGGGTGGCGCCAAGGCTCAGGCAAGCTCGACACAGGACAGGCAGGGGCCCCCCGCTGCACATGAAGGGGCTCAGACGCAGCCGGCTGCCCACATCCCTGGCACCTCAGGGCGCAAGCGGGGCCCCACTCGCGGCTTGTGTCTGCGCGCTTCAGCCACCCGGACCAGCCGCTGCCCGCGCTACTGCTTATCCTGGAGACGGAGCCGTGCCAGGCCGCACAGCACTGACGAGCCACACCAAGGCCAGGCCTGCCCCGGCCCACGTTGTCTTGGCTCCACTCGCCCGAGCTGCTGACCACACGCCTCCTGCCCTGTCAACTCGGCCGAGGCCTATGTCACGCTTTTCCCCACTGCTTCCTGTGACTCCTCCTAGTCGACAAGCTCGCCTGGTTTCATCCTGCCTCAGTGCTTCTTGCGATGAGTGCCCCGCTGCTCATCGGCCACATGTGCGACTGGCGCTCGAATGTGATCAGACTGCAGTCACTCAACGCACGCCAGCGTGGATGTCGTGCTGTGGCCACACGGCACCCGACACAACCCGAGTAGGTCTCCACAGCAAGCACCAGTTAGAGGGAGATTTTTCACACCCTCAAACCATAATACCCCGTAGAAACAAAGGGCTATTTAAAGAATTCTGCACTGCTTGGAAACGTACCAAATCGCCACCAGAGAGAGCCGAGTGCCACACTTGGTGCACGTTTACCGAAGTCCCTATGGATGCCTCCGACAGCAAGCTCCCTCGGGAACACTTAGGCGGAGGCCAAGAGCTCAGCTGTGCGGAGGCATCTCGGCCCGATGATGTGCATGTAACACGCCCTCGTACGGCAGCGCCACAGAACGGCTGTCTTCCCTTTGAAAACCTCTAGTCAGAACGTTTTAAAGATTTCCTTATACCTAAGAACTGGGGTGCAGATCAGAGGTGCAAGGACTCCCCAGAGACAGAGCAGGACAGGCAGATCAAGAAGTACACAGCTGAGGGGGGCGGTGGGGAGGCCAGGAGGTCTGCTGCGCCCTGGGGGTCACTGACAGCGTGAGACTCAACCCCTAGGCCCCCAGAGAGCCCCAGCTACTCTGAAGATTTTAGTCTCCACAAAACTCCCTTTTCAAGCAACAATGGAAGCAAACCAAGGATCCCAGGCACACGCGGGACCCGGCTGTGGGAGGCCAAGCTCAGGCCGTCACCCGAAGCCTTCTGACGCAGAACCACAACTCCGTTAAAGCTCCACGTTTACCCTGGGGGCAGCTCTTGGCGAGAAGCTGAGTTCACGTTCACAGACTGCAGGGTCCGATCCCGACACAAGCACAACTGTCACCCCAAGGGCGAGCTTCCGTGCAAACAGCAGGCTCTGGCTCAGGGGTGAGCTCGAGGCGCTCACAGGGCACCGCCCACGACGCAGCCCGCAGCCCGCAGCCCGCAGCCGCCACCCACCGCGCTATCTTTCATGACCAGCCGCTTATGCGATGTCAGCAGCTTCTCCAGCGGGTAAACGACGCGCCGCAGGTAGCGCTCGTCCCTGTGGTTGTCGTACAGCCACTGCGCATCCAGCACGTCGTGCATCGTCACCATGTGGTCCTACAAAGGGGTGGGGTCAGCGTCACGCCATGTCACTGCTGCTGCAGCGGCGCCAAGCGGGTGCCCTGAGCTGCGCTCCGCTGGCCCCTGCGCTGGCACTGTGGGCCGGGAGGTGAACGCAGAGAACGAACCTTCTCTCCTGCCACCCACCCGAGCCCAGGGCTCATGTCCCCAAAGCTGAATTAACAGAACAGGGAAGCTGCCCTGAGCTGGACGCAGCACTTTGGCACAGCCACATAGAGAGAAGGCAGCGGATGGCCCGGCGCACCTTCTCGCTCATGACTCCAGAGCGGACCCGCCGAAGCTCCTGCATCTGGCCGCCAACTCCCAGCAGCAAGCCCAGGTGCACGCACAGCGTGCGAATGTAGGTGCCAGCCTCACAGCTCACCCAGAAGATTCCTAGGACGGAAGTACGTCTCAGGGAGCAGCCACGTCGTCGGGTGGGAAGCCAGGGCCTCTCCTTTTCACAAAATTCTCAGGGATTCGCTCCGCTGGCCCCCCCGGACCCACCTAGCCTCCTGTCAGGGTCGTACTCGACCATCTTGCTCTCATAGATGGTCCGCACACGGAGCTGCCGCTTCACTGCTGCGATAAGGGGCGGGCGCTGGAATAAGGCGCCCGTCAGGGTTTCTAGAGCCTGAAACCAAAAGAGATGTGAAGCTGGACAGAAGGTGCCCCTGGGAGTTGAAGACACGAGGGCTCGGGGAGGCACTCCTGGGCCGTCTGCATCTGTCCTCGACACCAGAGACACAGCCGCCGCCGCCACCTGCCATCGCTGCCTCCAGGGCCCAGGGCCACCCCACCCCTGCTGGAGCACACTCACCCTAGAAAGCTGGGTCCCCCCTTCAATAGCATTGTGCAGCCGGACAATCCCCACGTACTCTTTGCCTGCAAGATGACAAGAGCGGTCAGGGGTGGCCGCTGGCTTTGTTGTGCTTCTCACAGGCCCACGTGATCCCGATGCGGCAGCAAGGCCAGCCGCCCTGGCTTCGGCGACACTTGCATCAGACGCATGTCACGGGGCGTCCCACCACCAAGGCTGGGACGGGGACAATCGCAATGCCTGGTGCAGGGCCTGACCAGGCCAAGAACTCCCCAGATGCCAACAAGGAGGGACCCTAAGGCCCCACTCCGACCAGTTTTATCACCAGCCTCAGGCAGGGACAGAGGGCACAGTGAAGCTGGCCCTGCTCAAGAGAATTCCACCCTGCCGAGATCACTTCCAGAGCCACAGCCGCAATCCAATGAGCCACCTCAGTCTCGTACCTGCACTCTGCTGCGACTTCACCAGACGTGTGGCTCGTTCTATGCACACGATCAAGCACCCAGTCACCTTGGGGTCCAGAGTGCCACTGTGTCCCGTCTTTTCCACCCGAAGTATTCGTCGGATCCAGGCTACCACCTCGTGGGAAGAGGGGTTGGAGGGCTTGTCGAGGTTGATGAAGCCTGTCCTGGAAGGGAGGGCAACAGCTGTGCTGCTACTGCTTCCTCCTGAGACGCTGCCGCGGGCCCAGGGTCCAAGACAGGCTGGGCCCCACACTTACCGGATATAGTCCCCGATCTCCCTCTTCAGAGGGTTTGAACCACAAGGAAGGGGTGTATAGTGTGTCGTCCTTACGTTTAGCTTGTCGAAATTCTAGGAAGCAATGACAAGACACCGAGCAAACTCAGCCAAACCGTCGTGACGCGAGACCACGGCGGGCCCGGCCACCAGCTGGGACACGGCCACCCTTCCGCCCTTCCTGTGTGTAAACTGCGGTCTTGCTGCTGAACGGTCATCACCTGCTATGATAGACTAACCCCTGCCCCAGTTAGCATAAGGCCAATCTGCTCACCCCCAGAGACCCCAGGGGACTGGGCTTCCCTATGCAGGTTGGTGGACACATGGAAGGACCGAACAGGCAGGTCGGAGGGTCCAAAGGGCGTTACCTGAAGACTGACTCACTGGCTCCTGCTCGAGGCTGCCAGCCCAGCCCACTCCTTTCCCCAGCTGACCCCCAGTCTGAAAAGCTCCCCTTAACGGAACCCATCCTTATCAGCCAACTTACGTAAGCCTGTTACCAAACCACAGTATCTTGTCAACCATCTCCCAACCCTGGTGAGGACCCTGCCCGATTCCCATGCCCTGAAACAGGAGCACAGGCTTCTAGAAAGACAAGCTGGCCGATCAGCAAGCCCACTGTGTGGAGTTAGCTAAGCAAACCCCCGCCTTTCACTTGTGTGTTCATTCAGAAAATGGCTTTGACAGGTGGGGCAGCGGCTGTTTCGCCCCTCCTCGCCTCCCAGGCAGGCTGAGTTAGTGCACAGTAAATCAGCTGTGAGGCCTCGACTCACCACTGAGCCACCTGGTCCAGCAGTCAGTGATTCCAGAGGCCACTACCCACCAGTGGCCTATTCCTGCAGCCCTCAACCGGCCTAAGGAAAAGTACTCCCAGCAGACGGCCTGAGGCGGCACCGCCTGACCTAAGTGGTGTCTGCACAGGCCTCTGGCACTGGGCAGTCCCACTCCCCGTGGGGCCCCAGCGCTGCCCTAGTCTGCAATTAGTCGTCCTGACACTTCGTTTGCTACAACGGTGTGGGGGTGCTGGAAGTGAACACCGAAAGGTCCTTGGTCTCGGAAGCCTCCAGAACCCGCAAGGCCCGCAGCACTGAAGACCGCTGACCCACACCCTGGCTGTAGGGCCTCGCACTGGCCTGAGAAGCACCTACCTTTAGCAACAGGGGCCACTGAGATGTGTCCAACTGCGCCACTTTGGATTCAGGTTTGATAAGAAATTCTTCAGCATGTTGTATTTCCTTCCAAACACAGAAAAGGCCATCAGACATCCCGCCCGCCTCTGTGAGCCAGCCATACCACGGTGGAAAACATGGCAATCTGTGCGTCCTGCGTGAGTGCTCCCAGGGAAGGAGAGGGACTGGGGCCTGATGGGAGTCCCCCAGTCTGGTGCCACTGGGTGGCTACAGCTATGAGGGCAGCGGGGAGACCACAGGTTCAAGGAAGGGAGGCCGTGGCCACCAGTCTACCCAGGCAGCCGCCACCCAACTGCAGCCATTATTCCTTTAGGACCCTTTCTGTCACCTGTCACTTACGCCCTTCGCGCCCCACAAAGTGACAGAGCTTCCTACTCACCGCTATGTCCTCTTCTGCCAAGGATTTTCGCTCCTTTTTCTTCTTGTGCTTCTTCGGCAAGATAAAAACTAAAGAAAATGCAAACACACCGACTGGCCATTTGTCTCGAAAATACAGGGCAGGGAGCTTAGCAGCCAGCGAGAGCGGGCGGCGGCCCGGGGACATCTGCTGGCGATCGGGTGCAACCGGCGGGCCTGCTGGCTTGCACGTGTCGCAGCATCCCGGGCCACCACGTGGCCGTGGCGGGGCCGAAAGTCGCGGCCCAAGCGCGGGCCCGCGGGCCCGCAAGTTGCCATCCAAGCCCTTGATGGTCCCGGCCGACCTGCGGCGTCTGAAGTTCCCGGGTCCTCGGCCCCCTCCCTCCGGAAAGGCCCGTTCTCTGTCCCCACATGGCGGGCGCGGAGCGCGGCGGCACAGGGCTGATAGGTCCGCAGCGCAGGCGCGGTCGCGACGCGGCCGGCGAATTCCGACGGCGATCGGGGCCCAGAGGCGCTCTGCCG